TTTCACCCTCTCCCAAATGCCCAGTCTCTCCTCCAGCACCATCAGAGACAAACACAAGGGCTCCCACCACCACTCTAAACCAGAACAGCAAAGAGCTGGGGCAGCTACTCACAGGCTCTGGGCTGGGTCATGGCCCTGCAGCTGGATCCTCCAGGTCCCTCAGCCTCCCCCTTTCGTTTCCTCCTCTTGTTTTCCTCCCCGCCTCCCTGTGCTCTGCCCGGGAACTCCACCCTCTCTTTCTCCATACGTCCTCAGAGCAGCTTCCAACACCCCAAGTATCTCTGGCAAGACACCATGGCCATGGGTATGTCCCAAAAGCAGCTCTGGAGGCCAAGGCAAAGATGGTGTCAGAGTAGCTCCCAAGTTAACTTCTTAGAGCAGCTTTTGCTAAAGCAGATTTTGGCGTTACCACTGAGGAGGGAAAGGACACTAACAAGAGGTTATGCTACTGCCGAACTACTGCATGTGTTGAATAAGTAAGATTTCTTCCCTTAAATTGGTGGCAGCATGTGATCCAAGAGGGTCAACCAGAAAGAAAAACAACAAATGCCAGAATGTAAGTCGTGCACGCAGTATACTAGAAAAAACTGTTTTCTAGAACAGGGTGGAAGAGGCATTTTTAGGTATGTTTTTCACTGTAAACTGCTCCCTGGGAAAGGCAATTTGATAGATTTGTTTTTAATGGTAGGCAGAGTGAACCAACCAGTGTTCTTGTACATGTAACTTGAGGGGATAGTACATGCAGAAGGCATAGTTTTCAGTTTCATTGCTCCTCCAGTAACTACAATTGAACAGTCCATACAGTACTCACACGTCTATCTGGCAACAGATACAGATATGTATCAGATACATAACACAACTAGCTGTTATCTTCACTACTAATTCAAGAGTTTAAGGCAGTGAATCAGTCTGAGGAATAAAACAGATAAACATTCTCTTCCTGGTGAACAGTGTAGTTGCTTCTATTATTTGGTCAAGCTTTATCACATCACCTATACTCATACAAGCAGCTTAACTCCAGAATCGCTGCCCCAACACACGCGAATGCATCCCATTTCCAGATCAAGTTCATTCACAACTAGACCACAGTCTCCTATTCTTGTGCCACCAGTGCCATAAAGTTTCTGAACTTCATGTTGTCAAGGAGTCTGTCAATCAGCAGTATCTACAACACCCCACCCATCTACCAGGTATATATTCTAGCTACAAGTTTAGCTTTAAAACTAAAGCTTCTCTCCCAACTATTCTTTTGCAGTCTTAGCCTTTGTTTCAAAATCTGCTAAGAAAGCCTGAAGTTATCAATCCCTTAAAGTCCCTGCAGGCTACACTTTCATACAGGAAGCAAAACAGAGCCAAGGATGCTCAGGGCTCATCCATAAATGCTTCTGTAGGATGGTGAAAGATGGGATTCTTTTGCCAGCCCAGACAGTACTGCTATACGAGCTTGTTTTGTTTCAAAAAACGAACAGTCACCAGCTACTTGGAACCACAGCCGGAATTACAGTATGCAGACAAAAAAAATCTTATGATTGAAATAAAAATTCACTGAGAAGTTAGGAGTGCCAACAAGGGATCAAAGGTTGTCCCGGGTTCAGCTGTAACAGGTATTTTTCTCCTTCCTAGTAGCTGGTGCAGTGCTGTGTTTTTGACTTTCAGTCTGGGAACAATGCTGATAACACCAATGTTTTTAGTTGTTGTCAAGTAATGTTTACTCTGACCAAGGACTTTCTCAGTCTCATGCTCTGCCAGGGAGGAGGGGAAGCCAGGAGGAAGCAGAGGCAGGACACCTGACCTGAACTGGCCAAAGGGCTATTCCATACCACAGCACGTCATGCCCAGTATATAAACTGGGGGGAGTTACCCGGAAGGCCCAGATCGCTGCTCGGGTCGGGCTGGGTATCGGTCAGCGGGTGGGGAGCAGTTGTGTCCTTTTCCCTTGTTATTCCTCTTATCATTATTATTGGTAGCAGTAGTGGTTTGTATTATACCTTAGTTACTGGAGAGCTGTTATCTCAACCCGTGGGAGTTACATTCCTTCGATTCTCCTCCCCATCCCTCCGGGAACAAGGGGGAACAGGGCAGGGTAGTGAGTGAGTGGCTGCGTGGTTCTGAGTTACCATGCAAAGGTCTACAGGTCTTCCTACACTTAACAGGGAAACAAAAAAAAACCAACCAAATCAAACCCAAACCTGCAGTTATTTGCTTTATAAACCTTATTCCAGAGAGCCTGTTTGTTTTTGAAGAGAAGCAGGAAGATCATCCTTGAAGTGAGCAGTTTCCAAGTGCACTCTAAGAGACTGGGAAAGCCCTCACCAAAGATATGTTGCTGCCATCTTGTCCAACAGGCCACACACATTCAGTCCTCACAGAAGGGAAAAGTAGTTTCCAAGTTGTAAGTTACTGTTTTTCTCTTCCACTTCCTCATTAAATGTCTTCTCCGTAACACAGTTAGATGGGGAATGCTGCTTTTTGTCAGGTTCAAGGGTGCTGAATATATCTATACATGACTATTTCAGACAATCACTTAAAGACTGATTGCTTTGCAATACATACAGACAAGGAGTCCTTTTTAAAGCAAGCAAGATGAGGTCAGTATGTGTGTGCTGGACTCTTTTGCTTCTTGACAAGAAAACCAGTCCTCCTGGACAGGAGGAGGAACATCCCATCCTCTTCTAGAAACACAGTATTCCCTCAGGCACGAGCCAAGTGTGCTGTAAGACAAAAAAAAAAAAAAAAAAAAAAAAAGACAAAGAAAAAAAAAGACACCCCTCTAGGACTAAAACCGTTCAAAATAACTTTATAAATTCTGTCACATTTCTGCTCTGTACATCAGTTCAACCTCATCCCTTCAGCTCGGTACTGAAAATTCACAATGCTTGCTTCTTGTTTATTTTTTCCTGAAAGGCATACACAAAACCAGCCATCAGTGCATTATTTACAGAAGTGCAATGCAGTCTCCCACCCCGAAACTCAACTTCTCACTAACAAGATGCTTTCAACAGAACGTAAATAAACACCACGGCTTGAGCAGTGTTTCTGAAGTCAGTTTATAAAGGTTAGCTCATTTCTGCAATCCCCAAGTGACAGAGCGAGTAAAGCTTCGCTCACCATCAAACGGGCTAAAAATACAACATTTCAAGTATTAAATCAGAAGTTTCTAAAGACAATCCATATTTTGATAAATAAACACAAGGGAAACAGTATACAGCTCTCAATGTACTGTATATGAAAAGTGGTGTCCAGATTCAAACTTCTAGCAAGACAGGTACACAGCCTAAAAATGTGATCAAAGTAACCCTGAAAACTGTAGCAATCCGGGAGTCCCAAACATTAATCTCTTCTGTGTTCCCCCTCGAATTACTCTGCTGGTCTGAGACAATTGATTGTTACTTAGTTCTACAACTGTAGGTAATCAAAAAAAACAAAACAAAACAAAACAACCAAACAACCAACCCCAAACCCAAAACCCGAGTTCATTCCCACATGGAAACAATTCAGAAGGTTCCACAGATAAGTCCTATTATGATCTTGCTTCTCTGCACTTTGTTTTCAATGAGATGTAACTGCAGAGCTATTATGCTTTCTGGCATAGTATTTGCAGCCAGAATAAGTTCAGTCCAAGCTTGTGCTGGCTGTGACTTGCTCTCAGTTTTCCACTTCATGTGTATCTTCACCATCAGATTTCTTATGTTTCCTCATATGTTTGTATTTTTCCACATATGCCTTCACCAGATTAGCCACCTTCATAGGGTTGATCTCTCCACTTTTGCTGTGGCAGATCTACAAGGGATTAGAAAAGGCATTAGGTCAATTACAGCAGTAATACAGTACTACAGCAGTTCAGGCAGGCAATAGACAAATGATAAAGAAGCCCTAAGCTTCCCAGGGGGATCAGTTCCTGCATAGGCCCTCAAGTCTCATAGCAGAATATAGAAAGCAGAAAACTTGATAAGGGTAAGAGTAGTATTTTACTTCAAGCATTCCAAAAATGGCCCAGACTTTATCTACTGAGCACCAACTGAATGAAGCAGCATCTCTGAAAGCAGATTTATTTATTTTTACTACAGGCTCTTCTGCCCAGTCAGTTTTACACAATCCACGGTGACCAAGGAAGTGTTGATCTTCCACTTTTTTGCTCATTTTGAGGAAGTGATGTTCAGATTAAAAGAAACTGGCAGCTTTAAGGGCCCATTTTGAGATGTGGAAGAAAGAGAATAGACCCTATAAAGAACTCTACCAGTGTTCAGAAAAGAGTTCACAGTGACTTCAGCAGCAATTGGTGTTGCTCAGCTCTCCTACAAACCACACTGAGCCTCATATGGGTCATGTAGAAGATGTGAAATTGCAGCCACTATCTCAAGAATTTTGATTTATGATGGAATTTCTCAGTGATCGCAGGAATGTACAGCTGGGAGAGAATACAGTTCTCCAGGGTATCATTTAACTGCCTTGACAACAAGAGCATTACTTGCTCCCACAAGACAACGTTTACCTGCTGATCAGGTCCTTTTTAGCCACAATCTGGTCAGCACTAAGATTTGAGACAAAAGTCAACATCGGCCAAATTGCAAGGCCCTCTTCCAAAGTTCAGGGACACAACACATGCTAAGGAATTAATACACAAAGTATGTTCTCACTTTATCAGAACAACTTGACAATACTGGCGTAAGTTCTTAATGAGAGAGATTTGACCATTCTCACCCAAGGCACGTACCATTTAACATTTCAGCTCAGCCAGTTTAAGCTTAGCTTATTCCAGACCACTGAAAACATGATCTTCTAAAAGGAACAGTCTGACAGCTCTCCTCAATGACACTAAGTCCTGCTTAAAGCAACTACCGCATTACCGCAAGACTGAAGAGTACGAGTCCAAAGATGTGCTACTCAGTTACAGCATGTAATTGCTGATGCTGGCAAGTGCAATCTTAATCTTAAGAGCACTTATTTAAGGATCTGCACAGCTCCTCCTCTCCATTTCACTGTCACCTTACCTTCTGCACTGCTTTTCGAAGAATGCTCTTGTACTCCTCCTTTGTAATCTCCCTCTTTTGGTAAAAGGGTTTAATAGCAAGTTTCACTTCTTCCACAGCCCTTTCCTGCATATGAAGCTTCTTCATATACTGCACAGTAAAGAGAAGTTTATTAACTTGTGCTATCTCAGGAATAGTTTCTGAATTTATTTTTCTTAGAAATGCTCTAACAATGGAAATACTCATTTCATGGTTTCAACAACCCAAGTAAGAGCTAGCCTCAAATGATTTCCTTTCCTGTAAATTGTAGTCTTGAAACAAATACCAATTCATGCTACAAGGAACCCTTGCTTCATGTCACATTTATTCTGTCTTAGAGAATGTGCTTTAAGCAAGTGACTACAGTGTCCACTTACTAGTTTTGGTCTCCTCCTTCCCTTCCAACAGCTGTGGAGTAAACATACATCAAGAGGCATCAGACTCTAAAAGCAGCAAGACATAGCTGCGAATAAAAAGCTTCAAGTAGTTCTAAAAGCATCCTGAAAACTAGAGAGTTGCCTATAAATTGAGGATTACAGATGACATCAGAACGTATTCCATCAAGACAAGTTCATAGAAACTGCTGCTCATAAATGGAGGTTCAGTGGGAAAAGTATCTTACTGTTTTGTGGTAGAAAGTAAAATAATTGGCCAAGAAAGTTTTTGTTCTTGTGTTAACATCTAGTATGCATAAGCAGATGGTCTGTACAGCAAACCCAAAACTTAGCAGCAAGTTACTACTACTGCAAAATCTCCGATGTATTTTACTATATCTGCACTTTCAGTGCTGATAAGTAGCAAGATAGAGTCCTGCCTCTCTATGGGACTATTTTGAGAACTGACATTAATTTCAAAGCTGGAGGGGAAAGGAGAAAACCAGGTGTTTAAGAGAAATTTGGACATTCTGACTTCTGGAAAGTCCCTTCCAAACATTCATGCAAGAAGGTTTCAGAACTCTAAGAATCTATTTTGTATGCTTTAATCCCTCTCTGTCTTACTGTGATGTAGCAGTAGAAAGTGGAATCATCAAATGGAATAAATCCCAAAAGAAATCAAAGAAAGGATTGCCTGCCACTACTGGGTTAGCATAGTCAGTCACCAAAACCAACAGTGACAAGAGGGGCTGGGAAAACAGAGCACAAAAAGTTAAAACCTCCCCAAACTTTAGAAATTCAAATAAGCAGCTCATTAATGCTATGCATTTGCCACTTGATAGCATTCACTCACTTCCTCGTTTTTTATTTTATCCACTGGAGGTTTGGGTGCTTCGATATTTTCTTCTGAGTTTCCAACAGAAGCAGCTTGGATTCCTGGTTCAGATGCAGTTGCCAGGCTGCCCGGCTCTGGAGTCAGGCTCTGTCCTGCCATGCAGACAAGCGCTGGAAGACTGCCTTGCATGATAAACTGAACTGTGGGCTGGCTGACAGGGGCGTAGGGGGGAAGGCTGGAGGGCAGAGGTGGTGTCAAAGGTGTATTTTGACAGTACACCTGTGAAACAGATACAAATTCTGTAAATCCTTGTACTTATAAGACAAAGCATCATGAGATCATGATTTTCAGAGCACCTTTTATCCACTCAGACAAGTAATTACTAGTTTAAATCAGTGAGGCTAACATCCTAGTCCTCAACTAGGCCTCTGTGCACAAGGAGCTAACACCAGCCCCACTCACCTTTTACTCTGTGGACAGCACAGTCTGATGGCATGGACCAATGCCACCAGGCCAATTTTTACAGCCTGATCACAATTCAGGGAGAAGCTCACAGCTTCCCAAACAGCACCACCTTTCCACAAGTTACCAGTGAAAACAGAAGCTGCACGTACAGCACAGAACTGAAAGAAAATGTACTTCTTCAACAGTAAGGACCACCTGAGAGATTGAATGAGTGCCGAGGTGTATGGGCTATATGAAATGTACCACACGCAGAGGAAGGCAAACTCTGCCATGAGAGAAGGGTGTTGCACAACGAGGGCACAGATGAGGTGGGATGCCTTCCATGACACTTGGGTGCTGAAACAGGAACCAACCTGAGAGGAATCTAGATCAGGAAACATAGGCTCAGGAATCATATAATTGGTTGGAGGAGGCTCATTTAACTGCACCTGATTTAATGTTTGGTTCAAGTCCTCTGCTTTCCAGGCCCCTTCTTTTGCTCGCTGAAGTTTGTAAAATGGCATCCCTAGGTTCCCAAGAGAAGGAAAGGAAAACATTTGAGAACATTTAAGAGTAAAATAAACAGGTCAAAGATTTAAAGCCAATTATATTTTAAAAAATTAAAATAAAAAGGATCTAACAACAAAGCTAGCTATAGAAGGATTTTCTTTAGCTGTCATCAATGTTTTAAAGCTTCTGATAATAGAGGACTTGTCATTCCCTTGAGCAATTGCTTTTCCCTGGGTTTCTGTATGAGTAACCAATGAGAACCAGAAAAGCAACTCTGTCAGCAGACATAGCAGAGGGTCCCAAGCCAAGCAGTTTCTTGCAGCTTTGGTTTAGCAGAGCTCAGAGGAGCAACCTACAGAGATCTGCCACGCTCCTCAGTTCCCAGAAACGTTTACAGAATCTGAAGGCAAACCCACCATTCTAGTTAACTGCAGAAAGGGTGGAACACGGGCTGCCACTTCAGAGATCTGGCTGCAACAGGCGCATGGCCAAACAAGCTGCCGTTACTCGCTGAGCTGTGCTGACAGCATGTCCTCTCCGAGTCATTAACACAACTCACCTCATGATTTCAGCAAGTGCAAAATGCCAGCTCTTGGGATTGGAAACCACAGGAATACCTCAACTCACATGACAGAGCTGTTACACTACAACCAGGTTTAGCTAGGCACTGAAACCCTGATTCAACTGCTGTTTGTTTTCCAAATGAGAGACTTACTTGGAGCTTTTCCAGCAGACAATGTGCCGCTTTCTTCCTCTTGAAGATTCCAGGTAACTCTTTTCACTGGTGCTTTTGATTTCAATGCAGGACCCTGAGGTACCACCTCCAGCTCAGGCTTACTGAAATTACCAGTTTTCTCATTTGACACAAGGCACTCATCTTTAAGCTCTCTCACACAATCTGTTATTTTGCTTTTGGACAGGCTTTGAAATGGTGCAGCCTCAGTTGGAGCATGTATGATAACTTCCTTCTTTGGGGGTGGTTCCATCAGAGATGGACACAATGCAGTATTTTCTATTTTAACTGTAATCTCAAGGTTTGTATTGTTACAGCTACCAAGTACTGCTGGATCACTGCTCATTAATTCTGTTTCAGCAAAAGAATCCACATTGCTGACTGGAACACAAATGTTTGTGATCTCTGGCACAGGGAATGCAGTTTCATTGGTCACTTCCTTACAGATGGGCTCCACCTTTATAATTTCTTGGACCTCTCTCAGTTGAACTGGGGTCTCAGCTTGTACTTCCTCAAGTTTGACATTTGGTTGGATGGTTATGGAAAGCTCTTCTAGTACTAGTTCCTCCTTTGGCTCTTGTTTGAAGGAATGGGGTTGCTCCAGACACCTGGACACATTTTCAGCTGGAGGCTTTTGATCCTTTTCTGGTGGAGGAGGAAGCGATGTCTCTTTTGATTTGTGTTTTCTTTCTTTGGAACGTGACCTTGATCGTGGTCTTTTTTCCTTTGATTTGCTGCTTTTGTGCTCCCGAGATCGAGATGTAGACCGAGACCGAGACCTCCATTTTCTCCTCTCCCGAGACCTGGATCTTGATCTTTTTCTGTCCCTTGACCTCAAGCTACTATCTTTATCATACCTCTCGTAGCTTTTGTCTCTTTTGTGTTTCCGCCTTTTAGTCCTCTCGATGCTGTTCGATCGGGAACGTTCCCTCCGTCTTGATCTTGATCGAGACCGTCTTTTCTTTTTCCTATTTTCATGAAACTCAGAAGTACTTCCAGGACTACCTGAACGTGACCTAGATTTCCTTCTCTCCCTAGACCAAGAAGTTTTTGCCTTTTTATCCTTGGTTTTATCCTTCATTTTCTTTTTCTTAGATCGTTCATGACTGCTAGAACGGTCAGTAGAAGACCTCCTGCTCTTGGTTTTTGGTGTCTGTGTTTTGCTACGCTCTTCTCCACCTGACCAAGAGGCAGATCTGGAGCTTCGGTCCCTTGAGTGTGTCCTGTCCCTAGACCCTGATCGGGATCTCCTATGGTCTTTGACAAGTGCCTTTTTCCTTTTTAACTTCTTCTTGCTTCGGGAGCTGGAATTTGAACAGGATCTGGAACGTGATCGCCTCTCTATCTGTTCTACCTTTTGGACATTCTGGTGCCCATCATTCTTTGAGGGACTATCTGGTTCTACTTTCACATTCATATTAGGTCTAATCAATTCTTCAGCATTAAAGAACACATTAGGACCATCTCTCCTTTCCTCTTTTAAACACTCTGCATTAGAAATTTGCTTAATAGCAGATGAAGTGCAAGGACTGCTTAGAAAGTCTTCCTCATCCATATTGTCCCGCTCCTCTGTATCAGAGATCGGTTCTACAATCCTGCTTTCTACTGTCACGTCATCATGAGACTCTGTGTTACTGGATGGTACATCAAAGTCAGCCCCAGATCCAAATACATTTTCTACCATGTAAGGGGTGAAACGACGGACACTTTGAAACGTTTGAACTTTGGGATTTTCAATGGAAATAGTTCTGGTAATATTAGTTAGTGGAATCCCTGAGCCAAGCCTTTCAGGACTGCTGCTTGCTGAACTCGAGTCCGATCCTGTTGGCTCAAAGGGATCATATATCTCACTTTTGACCTGCTTTTTCTTAACTGAGAAAAGAGGCAAAGGATTCTCTTTCTGTTGCACTTTGTCATCCACAGGGCGGAAGGTGTTACAGAATCCTGGGTTAGAAAGTCTGCTGGGATGCCCTGCGTTTCCAGGAATATTGATTTTAAAACTCTCAAAAGAGCTTGGGACTTTGCTCCTTGAAGTGCCCAGTAGCAATGAACTGCCGTGCACACCTGTATTGGCAGAAAAAGACATGCCACTTGTACGTGTTTGTTGCTGAGATTCCTTGGCAGTTGACTTCTGACTTTCCACCTTGCCACCCTTTCCTGGCTGATTAGTGCTCTCTTTGCCAGTCAGCTGGATTATACAGGAGCTGGGGATGTCACAGCTTTGGCTTCCTGCAGGTTCTGGCTCCACCTGCTTGCTGCTGGTTTCCTTTTTAATCTTTGGTATCCTGGGAAGCTCAAAGATGTCAATTCTCTTGGAAGGTGGTTTTAATGGCTGCCTCACAGTTAGAGCTTTTGAGGCAGAATTCAAATTACAGCTCAGGGGCTTTGAAGATGATGAGTCAGTAGCTGCAAAGTTTTTAGAATTTCCATTACATCTGGGCATTTCATCTAACCTGGAGCCATGTCTGCTCAGAGCAGCTATGTTCTGAGTCTGAACAGATCTGGGCGTCATTGAATATTCCGATTTTACAGTTGCTTTTTCTGACGTAGTCTGCGCTGGGTTTGCTGCAGGCTCGATCCTGCTCAGTAAGGGTGAAAACAAGCTTGAGGAGGAGGAGGAGGGTCTGATCTGAGTACTCAGCCCCAAGGAAACTGAAGGTCCAGGAGTGGAGCTGCTTGCTGTGGTCCCTGAGTGCACTGTACTTGGTTGGGTGTTATGTCCTGAACTATCATCTGTTCTCGAGTCATTCGCTGATTTTTTATGAAGTGGAGCTATGGCATACAAGCAAATAATTAAGCTTTTCAGTATGTAACTGAACATTTTTCCCCCCAACATTAAAAGAAATACTGAGCTAATTATTTTAAGTTCCACTTTAGTTTGCAGACATACCACACAGTAATAAGTCAGTCCAGTAGTTCTTTTGGTCAGATGCTCAAGGTTTAATGGCAGTCAACTGCATCTTTGAGGTACACACTAATGTTCAGGAAATAAATTACTCTGTTCTGTAGATATCACCAGATTTGTGTTTATTATCCTGTAGTCGCTGATTGATAAAAATGACCGTAACAGAGGCTGTTACAGGTACTTATTTTAAGAATAAAGCTCTAAGTTTCAATTTGAAGAGATTCTTTCCAAATAATACCATGCCAAGGGAAGCTTGGAAGCTGAAGATACTAGCACATATTCTAGAGCTCTACTTGTGCAAAGAAAAGTCTTGCAAAGGTTCTCATGACTGTTCTTCAAACCAAAGTACAATTCACTGGCATGGCAGCAATGCTTGACAAACACCATAAAAATTGGGTCCTAAGATATCTCTCTTCTATCCAGTCCTCCATTTTTTATAACAAAGCATAAAACCACAGTGTAGTACTTTTGAAAGATGAAAACTATCTATTACAACTAAAATCACCTAGTAACATCTCAGCTCTGCAACTAAAACACAGACAAGTAACTATTTCAGAGCATACCTCAGAATCTTATTAGCTGGATTACTGCTGGTGACTACTGAAATCTATCCTACATATTCAAATAAGAGCATCCCTATGTTTGAAACTATGCAGTCTGTACGACCAGGGCAGACATGGATGAAACAGAGAGGCCAATTGCACTATGAAGTGCCAAACCCTTACCTGCCTTCTTCGCCGTCAGCGAACCATCTCTGTTGATGACCACATCCGAACTACTCATCATAAGAAAGCTCTGTCCAGACAGGATACTTCCCAACAGATCAGGCACAGGGGCAGCTTCTGCTTCTTGTTCAGGACTCGCAGCAGGGACACTGCTTCTGCGTGTTTCAGAGGGGTTATATTTCCTTTACTCTTACAGCACTTGTTCTACACACACACATTACATTAAAAAGAAACCAAAAATCAAGGGCACAAACAGAGGTCAGCCAGGGAAGTTCACTACTTTTTTTGGCTTCACTGAAGTCATTCAGCCCCCATCTTCCTCTGTCAAACAGCAGGTGAGGCTTTTACTGACTTCCCACAGGAACACCACAAGATAGGAAATCATGTAACCATACCAGAAACCTTTGGTAAGCAAATGCTTTTGGTCTTATGCAAAAGTGGTGCTGATGGCGTTGTGTATCAAGGTTAACCTTCCAGAGCATTTAAGATGCATTTTTGAAGCGTAAACCGTTGTTCACCACTTCAGAGATATTTCTGTCCCAGCTGCCCCTCTTCCCCCCAACCAAATCACAATCACAAGTGTCCTCCTCAGGTTTACGCCACTATCTAAAAACAACTGATGCAGCTCAAACCAGTGTTTACACCAGCCGGAATACACGTAGGTGCCTACTGGTAGGGGGGCTAAGAGCATGGCATAGGAGGAATTACACTGAAAACCAACAGCAATGCTCCCACACACGAGACAACACAAGCACTCCCCTACCCATTACTCAGTTTTATGAGTGGTTTAACTCTAAGTTTGCTGTTCTTGAAACATAGACCGAAAAGGTTGGAGTGTTTTTGGTGTTGGGATGTAGCTTTTTTGTTTTAATTTCTTTGGGTTTTTTGTTGGTGGGAGTTTGGGGGCTGGTTTTTTTTGGTTAAAACAAACAAACAAACAAAAACAAAACCCCAAAACTTCAATAGGGACCAATAGACCCAGCTCTCTGAGGGAGCTACATTTCATTTCTGTATGACAACAAAGCCAAATATCCAAACAATGTACACCAAAAACTTGTCATAAGATAAAACAGTAAGGCAAATGGGAATGCTAAAAGAATTGGCTGCCCAGGTCAGACCAGGAAACTCACTGCAAACCAGGCAAATCAAGCCTATAGAAAAGCGGCATTTCAACTACACAGTTCTACCATCTGAACAACATACTACTCAAATTATGCTATCTTAATCCTGAGAAACCAACCTTCACCATAAGTCAGATGCATTAGAGAGCAGCCATGTAAACCTCTCACATCTCTGATCATTTAAGCTGAGCTCCCCCTATTTTGCCTAGTCTTCAGCTCCCCCAGCCTTGCAGTTCTCCGATTCAGTTGGTACCTGCCCCAGCCATTTTCCCCATCCCTTTTCTTCCCGTTATGCTCCTGCTCCCTGTGTCCTCCCCCCCATTCCTGGAAACTCACTGTGGCTGCCAGTGGGAGGCACCCAGCAATGCTCCCTTGCCAGCACATCAAAGCAGCTGTTAAACTGCAGGATCAAACAAATTGTTTCTCACAATTTTCTCAGCTCCAACAAATGGCAGAGGAATTGGCTGAGGTGGGTACATCCTATGTCTCCTCCTCTGAATGTGCAATTAGATTTGCAGCCCTCTCAAATAAGCAAGAGGGGTTTTAAAGGTTAATGAGACTGAGATTTAAAACATACTAATGGGATTACTAAACAATCCCAAAACAGAAAGCAAGAAAAGTTGGGTTAGGGCAGAAATACCAATTTGAAATTGCAATACAATAATTAGAGCTATTATGAAAGACCAAGCATGTGTCCTTCAACACAAAAAAAAAAAGCTGTGGTTACTTAGCTATGCATGTGCACACACACATGCACACACTCTTTTCAAAATACTCAAGGTAAGAAGAGTTAAACCAGGATGATCAACCAGTTTGCTCTTTTGTTAGGGTCATTAGATAATTAAGGAAAATAAGATAAATAACTTGATGGATTTTTACCTGGGAAGTCCCACAGAAATAGGTCTAGCTACAGGACGGTGAGACCTCAGTGCTGACTGGGAGAGAACTCTCCTTTTGGCACTCACTGGTGAATCTGGATTTGCTGGAACCTCTTCATTACTGTGGGCAAAACACATACGCACACAAACCCTAAAATTGTCTGAATGATTTTCACGTCAAATGGATGAAGTAGATAATGCCACTGCTTCAGATATGAAGTCAGACATTGTCGTTCATTATTATTACAAAATATTTGTGCAATACACTTATTTTCTGTGGAAAACTAAATTTCACCAACAACTTTCAGATGCCCATGCACCCTCCCTCCAGCAGCCCCCCCCCCAAAACTCAAAGCTTAAGAATGACATAAACTATGGTATAGTAAGATTCCTCCTGAATTTAAAGTGTCTAGAAAAGCGAAGATGAGGAAAAGAGAAATGTGGAAGATTCCATAGGTCCATTTAATTCTCTGTGAAGTCACTTTTTACCGTATACCAAATACACTAGCTATGTTCACTTAAAATAAATAAATAAATAAATAGAAACTGACTGATTAGGATCTGACTCCTTCAAATTCTAGCCTTTGAATAACCTCATAGATCTTGTTAAAGGTTTGCAAGAGGATTATTATTTCAGCAAACCTCTTTAAAGAAAGTTGATTCTTTAAAAGTTCAGCAAATCAGCCAAGAAGGAAAGAAAAGAACGGGCCAACGTGTTGCTATGAGCTGTTTATCCAAAGCTGTCTTCAGATGCAAGATCTACAGTCTGCAGAAAGTCATGTGTACAAACAACCCAACACTTGTGAAATATTAGGTCCCCAATCATAATCCAGAGGTATCTTACCTTTCATAAGGATCCAGCTCGTACGGATCTCCAAAGACAGACAGAGAAGCTGCACCGATATCTGCTCTCATCAGGCCAAGTGAGGGCTCCGCTGGTTTGGACATGGAAGGAAGCGAGGCCCCACGCACAGGTTTGCTAAGACCAAGAGTTCTTGCGATACGGGAGCGAGTAGTAACCTCATTTTTCATCTGCACAGATAAAGAGATTGGCTTATTTGCATGTTAGGGCAGGTATATACCTTGGTATTAAAGCCCCGGATTCTTCACTTAAGCCAAGTACAGTCATCAGGTTACTACCGTTGGAAGCAGCAGTAGTATTTGTTTTAAAGCATTTATGAAACTTCTAACTATGGCCTGTTTGTCACTTCAAACAGAGACTGCATGTCTCTGTTTAAGATTTAAGTGACCAGGTAACTCTCTAAAAATCTTTAACAATGTAACTCATAATTGTTAATTCCTTATTAAAGACTGGAGGGACAGTTCTGGCTGTAGGATGTAAACTCTAGTTAAGGTAGCTGAGGACAAAAGTGAAGCTGGTGCAGAGCATCCAGTAGAGTTCATGTGAGAACACTATCCACAACTGAGATTTTGAGAGCCCTTACGGTTGATTACCTGGGTTTGCAACAACACAAATATCCACAGCCTATTAAGAAGAATAGGTGGTGGCAATTTTAACTTAGCTTGCATCAGTACCAAGCAAACACTACAGCTGAACAGCAGGGCATATTACAAAGCCTACAGGACATGGTTTACAGTGCAATTCCTGCAGTTCAGGTAACAGGATTTGTCAGCAAACTTAGCAGGCCTGCCTGAAAGTTGCAATTCATTTCCATGTACCGCATCTTTCTACAGTATGCTGGACACATCCTGCACATAGTCCCCACCAGGAATAAGTTAGCAGCTATCATTACAAGACAATTCTTTTTTCCACTGAATCCCACATTATGGTGCTTTTACAGATAGCTGAAAACCAGCAGATAATGACACTGGCAGAAACTCACACGTGATCTTACTCTCATCTTTTTCCCCCTTCTCTTCTTTATCAGACTCTTGCGTCTCTTCAGCTGTGTCCCTGAACTCTTCTTCCCAGCAGAAGATTTTGTCTGAGTTCTTTTTTTGCCTCTTACTTTCTTCCTCCTACCTGATGGGACAAAAGACAATCAAGTATCTGGCTAAGTGCTGGCAATGCATTTTACCCTGTATTCTTTTTTTCTCCTTCCCATGGCACACAAAGCAGCTCAGAGTCCTACAGTGTGCTGCAACAGTATAAAACAGCAGACCAGAAAAATTGAAATCATTAGGATTTATGTCAAAGCAACCACCAAGATACTTCTGGGAAGAGACAGGACGGGGAAAGAAATAAATATGTGTGGTATACTTCTGTAGCTGCAGAGGTGTGGCAGCATACAGCTGATCTAGAGTCTTTTGTGTGATCTGGGCTCATCTACCCAAAGCTTTTATTTTTGCAGATGGGAACCACAGAAGGTGTCCAATGCCCTTACCTGTTTTTCTTTTCTGCCTAGTAGGAGCCAGTACAGGAGCAGGTGTAGGATCCAGTGCAGGGGCTGGTGTAGGATCCGCTGCAGGGCCTGGTGTAGGATCTGGTGCAGGGGCCGGTGCAGGGACTGGTGTAGGAGTCCGTGTAGGAGCCGGTGCAGGGAGCGGTGTTACAGGACGCTCATAGATGGCTGTGTTTATGCCTGAAATAACTGCCTCAATTGTTTCATCCAGAAGAGAGGGCATGAGGTACGCTGGCACGTGCTGCATGAGGGATTATAAGTTACACGATAACGGTCAGCAA